CAGCTCGCCCATGTTTGCACCGGACAAAGCGTTCATCGAAATAGAGGTTATTTTGCACGCCTCGATTATTTTATTAAAGAAGGCAGACCAGGGCATTGTTTGCCGGCGGGGGGTGGGAATCTTTCCCCTATAATGCCAACAGTTTTTATTGGGTTGTTGTGATAAGTGTCAGGAACAGAAACAGCATAATGAGATTTTATTGGTGCCATGCCCCATGTTGCCGTCGGTTAAATAATTGCTTTTTTGGGCTACTGCTGCAGTAACCTATGACGCAAGTTAGTATGCTGTGAATGAGGTCGAATGGTCGAACTGACTCAAAAACTTGAAACAATAATGTTTAAAACAAATATGAATATAAGACTTAAATATTATATTAATATGCGTTATACAGTGTTTTTTTTATGAAAAAGTATGTATAAGTAAAACCAGGGTGATTCACAAGTCGTGACCAAAAATGAAACGTCATACACAGGACCGCATTTTAAGGAGGGTCTTCAATGTAACATTCATTAAAAAGATACGTTTTTTTAATATGTTCAAAACCGTCAACTAGAATGAAATAAATTTTGGTATGTGGATTTTACCTAAGTATTGTCCACATGAAAAGTCTTTACTTAATATTAACGTGCACCAGTGGCGGAGGTACAGGGGATTAGTGGCATTATTTCCAAATAAAAATAGTACGCCACTGTTTTTTTTCGAAACGTGCAATTTTTCGAATTTTAATTTCAATTTGCTACAAATACTTACTCTTCAGTTTCTTCCTAGAGTGTATTGTTTTCCTAAAAATAAAAAAAACAAATTAGTTAATCAAAGCTTTATTTCAATAAATGTTCAAAAAGACCAAGATTCTGACGGATATAAGTGCAACATCTCTTTAATAAGGAAAAACGTATTTCAGCATTTGTTATGGCTTGAATTTGATGAAACGCATTATCTGTTCTTTCTTGTAACTGATCAACAATATTAATTTGTTCAGCATACACTAGTTGTTTAAAAGCGCCCCACAAAAAGATATCCAAGGGGTTCAAATCAGGAGACTTCGCAGGCCAATGTACGGGTCCGTTTCTGCCAATCATGTCACGACGAACATGCGGTGGGGCACCGTCGTGCTGCTACCACATTCCTGCTCTCGTTGCTAACGGAAACATCATTAACACATTTTATATTTAATTCTCTAGAAAAGCTAAGTTTGAGTTTAAATTTAAACGTTGTGCCAATGTGCTACAATCTACATAAACAGTTGGCCATTGAAAATGCCGAACAGATATTTCTAGAAAATCTGTGTTGAAACGGGTGGATTCTTACAGAACAGTGATTTTCTAACGACCAAATATGTTCATTATTCACGCCTCGCAAAAAGCGATTCATCTGACCACAAAACCAAATCAATAAAATCTGTATTTTGATTATGCATTAATTTGCAGTAAGCAGTCACAAAAATTTCGCCGCTCCATTTCTCGTCGGGTTGCAGACATTGCGCGTTTCGAAAAAAAAAATAGTGGCATACTATTTTTTATTTGAAAAAATAACGCCACTAATCCGCTTTATCTCCCACAGACATTACATATTTTGCGGATGGTAAGGATGTAAGATTTCCCGTTTTAAAATTCTCCGCGCAAGACTTTGGGAACATGGTAACTGGGCTGCAATCCACCTAGTACTTGTACTAGGATTATCCAACGTCAAATTAGACACTTCCAGTTTCTCTTAAACAGTATGCCGGACATCTAGCTTCGGGAGGTTTGACAATTCCATATTGCCGAAGTCTTAGAAATGAACGTAAAAACCTCTGAGGTAAGATAGCGTCTGTTAGGAAATCTAAGTTGATACTAACGAGAAGCCACTAAAGCAGAGTTCCTCAAACTTTTTTGTGTCGTAGACCCCTTGCTATGTTTTTCCGTGTTGGGTAGACCCCCTACTTACCTGATATTGAGTTCCTGTGAATTTCTAACTGTAGTGTAGTTTAGTGTTAAAAACTTAAAGTAAAAATACATGTTAATTTATACATTTACTAATTGAATTTAAATTAAAACTACTCAAAATAAAATTTTGTATCTGTTATGTAAAATATACGTAACATTAAATAAACAGGTGTCTGACCAATAAGTGCCCGCATTGGGAATAAGTGCCCGCATTGAAAAAAAAAATAAGAGGTATAAAGTAAAAAAAAAAGTGAAAAATAATAAAAAAAAGTGTTTTACTTAAAATAGTCAAAAAGCGAGATCGCTTATTAATTATAACATAAACGTATGTTCTACAATAATTTCACTGTTAGTTTAATTAAATTCATCTTCTTATACGTTTAAGTTATCTAAAAATAGGCAAAAAATTAACGAATTTTAGTGTGTACCTATCGTCATTGCAAAAAACTTTGTTGCATAAAAGGCACATAGGCGATTGTTTGTCCGGCAATGATGGAATGAAGCCAAATTTCAAATAATCAACACTGTACTGTCTACATTTCTTTTTAGATTCGGACATGGCATCAGTCATCTGTGGGCAAAATTAAATCATTTAAATAAGACAGAAAATCCAGCAGCTGTATATTAAAAATATTTTTGAATTTTTCCGAAAACATTTCATAATTCGAACATCTTCTTGCAACAATTAGCTCGAATTACGGAGATTGCACTGTAATTATATTACCGATTGCTAAAACTTTCAAAAAGAAACTATTGAGGAGTACTCGTGTAATTTTGCATGATTGAATATTTAACTACTAATAACTAAAGTCATGATTGGCGTAATTTATATATCTTTGCTAACTACGAGTAAAACTAAAATTTAATAAAAAATAATGTACTTACTTTTCTCCAGCACTCTCAAACAAAATAACACTGACTCACTATAATTTGTGTGATATACTATCTGTTTATATTTTTTAAAATATTTTCTTAGCACTTTCCTTTTCAAGATTCAGGAGACGAATAAACGTATTTGTCCCACATTCGTATTTATAGAGTGACGAATTGAACAAGTCAGTGCAGGGTAGCGAAGCTCTGAGACTGCGACTCTTTGGTTTTTACAAGTTCAAAATGTATTGCGACCACAAAGCGAATACCAACATCCTACAACTTACACAATTTTATAAACATATATAATAAATTTTTTACTTCATAGGTACTTTTATAAATAATGTATATGTTTTGATATTATAAGATGTGATGTAAGTAAATAGGTACTATCAGTTTATCTGTTGAGATCCACTATCGTGGACCCCCATAGTCATTTCATGGACCCCCAAATTTTTTTTCGCTGACGTAGATCCCTTGCAGGTTGTCATAGACCCCTAGGGGTCGATATAGACCACTTTGGGAATCAATGCACTAAAGCATTTCCATTACAGAACCCGCACACAAAACTAATATCGGCGTAGTCATCATTGCTAAATTCCATTGAAAAATATGCAACTTTATTAACTTTCACTACGTGCTAAATATCAGCGGTTCTGAAAATATTAATCAATTTTCATGTTTTTCCTAAAACTTCAACACCCCGAGTTTTTGTAAGGAAACATTTTTGGACCATAGTTTTTAAAGCAAACTAACATTAATTCTTCATGTAGATTCACACCCTTAAATATTTGCATATCATTAAGGAACACCCTGTATACAGGGTGTCCGGAAATTCCTGCTACTGTAGATATATCACGCCATGGCCTGCTAGATGGTAAAATTTCGTTTTATTAAGAGATTTTCAGCATTTATTTAATTTAAACTGGTATATATCCAGTTAATCCCGTGCCATTTCTACAAAAATCAACTTTTTTTAACCAGGTTTGATTTAAAACAGTCAGAATTAGGAATCTTATCTCGTCCACATAAAGTCATGATAAAGTATGAATTTTTATTAAAACCACCGTAGAGTGAAAGGATCAAGTACGATGACTGTGCCAATTTGTCGAAAAAGTTGTAAAACTTTTGTAAATGTTTAAATTGTTATTCGTCATCTGTTGTTTTTACGTTTTGTTGCAGTTACAATGGAGGAGGATCAGTTTTCGTAGATATCATAAAATAACAATTCATTGCTTGGATACAAAAAAATGGACAGTATTGACGTTAAATGGTAATTTAAAAAACATTTCAGATGTCAATGTGATGAGCACCATTGACTGTTATGCATACAAAACCGCTCGAATGTTCAAGGATGCCCAAATTTTGGAACTCAATGGTGCTACTGTGACCTGCACAGCTCGCTTAACAGATTGTCTTTAGCAGCCCTAATAAAAAAATTTTGTGGACTTAGGTCCAACAATTTTGGTGGCAATGAAATTATTCCGCGGAATGTTCCATTTTTGTAATTGACGTTCACTCGATCTGACCGAGTGTGATGTGTCGGAGTATTATTCAGTTATTATCTTGCAGCAGATGTGTTTGTCTTATTTACAGACGTCGGGATGGTTTTTCTTAGAAACTCAGACTTCGGAATAATTTCTACATGGGTTTCTCCCATTTCAAGCACAACATGATGCTGTTATGGATAAAAACACTTAATTATGATGATACTCCGCCACATCGCTTCCACCAAAACCTCCTCGTCGATATCCATCCGAGGTATGCAGTCCCTCTTCTCGGTGACCTGCCTTCTGAGTATTCTCGATGAACGTGTTAAAAACTATAACCGGGGAGATGCCGATTGGGATATCTTCAAGAGCAGCAAAGTAAATGGTATACATAAGAACAAACCTGGTTCAAAAAAGTAGATTTTTTTATTTTAAGTCAGTTTTTCAAACAAAAAAATGAATGATAAAAATCTCAAGAAATAAGACTTTTAATTAATCAAAATTTTGCCATCTGGTAGGCCATGACGTGACTTATCTACAGTTGCAGGCAGTGGCGGCCGGTCCATAGGGGCGAAAAGGCTACAGCCCCCCAAGACAAAATGCGAATTAACAAAAAATTTAAAATATGATTTTGTGATTAAATAATTTCCAGATATATACGAAAATTCAATCAAAACCTGAATTTTAATAGTAGCCAGTTACGCAACACGCAATATATATATATATATATATATATATATATTATCCGATCCCAATACCCCGAAGTCGCGAGCTAGATTCCCTATCGATTCGAGGCTAGAATAATTTTTGCCGCGATCGCCGACCTGATTGAGTGGCTCGCTACGTCATACCTCCCACGCGCTTACGAGTTTTATACGGGATTTTAACACGCGAGTTGGCGAAATAATTTTTAGCCAGTCCCGATTTACGTGTGTACGAAATCGCTTCGTCGCGTCCCCGTGCCGTCGTTCGGGCGTTCAAAAAGTTTAAAATGGCAAATGAAGTACAAAATTTGTTAAAAGGTGAATTTTCTCGGCTTCCGCTTGCTGAAAAAATAATAATAAAATCCCTTGGAAGGCCGATTCCAAATATCAACCTTACTCAGGCTGATAAATCGACGAAAGCTGGTTGTTTTAAGAGACATTTTAAGAAAGATATCTATAACAAAAACAAATGGATATGCGGTTGTGGCACATTAAACGCCCTGTTTTGTTTTCCGTGCTTACTGTTTTATTCAGATGCAGCGGAAAAGACATGGACAAGAACTGGATTTAACGATTTAAAGCATATAAACCAGAAAATTAGTAAGCATGAAAATTCGGCTCGTCACATGATTTGTTCGACAGAATTAGCTTTATTGGGAACAGCTAGTATCGCTGCTCAGTTAGATTCCGCTTACAGGCAAAATATTATTAAGCACAACGAGCAAGTGGACAAAAATAGATATCTTTTAAAAAGAATAATAAACTGTATAAAGTTTTGCGGTAAATTGGAATTAGCGTTAAGAGGGCACGACGAAAGTGAAGACTCTGAAAATCGTGGCATTTTTCGAGAGTTGATTAATTTTACGTCCGAACTGGATACAATATTAAAGGAACATTTAAAAAGTGCGACTCTGTTTAAGGGTACTTCTAAAACAGTACAAAATGAAATACTAGATAGTATGTTAGAAGTCTGCCAACAAGAAATTCGACAGCAAATTAATGCAGCAGAGTTTTTAGCTATACAGTGCGACGAAACAACAGATATTTCACATCATTGTCAAATGGTAATGATATTTAGATATCTCCATGAAGGTGAAATACAAGAAAGATTTTGGCGTTTTTTGAGCGTTACGGACAAGACAGCTGAAGGTTTGGCAAAGTGTATCGAAGAAGAACTAGGCCCATTATTAAAAGATTCACCCCACAAATTAATTGCGCAAACTTATGATGGTGCAAACGTAATGAGCGGTAGCAGTGGTGGAGTTCAAACAAAAATCAAACAAAAATATCAGAACGCTCATTTTATACACTGTTACGCTCACCAACTGAACAGAGAGCAGCCAGCCAAAATCCAAAAGTAAAAGTGTTTTTTCAAACCTGTCGGCAATTCCAAGTTTCTTCTCCAACTCCACGCACAGATGCGATTTATTGGAAAAAATAGTTAAAACCAAAATGCCAAAGGTTGCGCCAACACGGTGGAATTATAACATTCGCACAGTCAGTGCCGTTTTTGAGAACCGTGAAAGTCTTATTGATTGTTTCCGGGAGTTAGAGAATAAATGTGATAAAACAATTACTAGTAAGGAGGCATACGGTTTAAGAAGAGCACTCGAAGATTCTGATTTCATCTTTTTTTTGACTTTTTTTCACAAAACCCTACCGCACGTAGCTATTTTGTTTAACCAGTTTCAAAGTAGGAATAAAGACAGTGTACAACTTTTAAAAGATATTGACGTATTTGAGAAGGCCATTGTATTGATTAGGGACACTACAGAGGATATACAGCAAACTGTTGAAAATGAGCATGGAGACAATGGAAATAAACGCAGAAAAGTAGGACCCGAAGAAAGAAATTGTATTATTGCAAAAGAAGTTTGCGATATAATAATTGTACAGACAAAAGAGAGACTTTCTTACAGGGGTCATCTAGAAGCTGCATCTTTATTAGATACACAAAACTTCACAAACTATTCGAGATATTTTCCAGCAAAAATACTGAATTCAGTTGTGACTTATTATCCAATGGTAAATAAAGAAAAACTGAAAACCGAATTAGAAGTAATGTACATGAGGGAAGACTTCAAAAATATTACAGGTGGTTTGAATTTGCTGTCCCTATTGACTAATAACAACCTAGAGGAAACTTTTAGCGAAGTAACTAAGTTGTTGCAAATAATTATAACTACTCCCATGTCAACTTCCGAAGCAGAGCGCTGTTTCTCAACCCTTAAGAGGATAAAATCGTTTTTAAGAAACTCGATGGGCAATGAACGACTGAATGCATTGGCAATGATGTCTGTTAATAAGAATCTGGTACATAATATCAGCAATTTCGACGAAAAAGTAATGGAACATTTTATTTCACAGAAAGACAGAAGATTAGACTTTACATATAAACATTAAAAAATATTTTGTAATAAATAGAAGTGTGAAGTGTGACAGTTGAAACACAATGTTTGCTCTAGCTGTAGGTAGGTATACTTAGTCGTTTATAATACAATAATACATTTAGGTATACCGTATTTCTGTTCTCTTTTCCAGTTATTTATAGTTACATGTGTTGTAAGAAAGTGAAAAACTATACTTTTGAGTACTGTTGTTCTTTTGATAATAGATGCTCTGTTGCTTTCATATTAGATGCTGCTTTCTTTTGCGATAAGTTCTCGTACCTAAAATATGTTTGTTCCTATACAGAGGACTGTACATAAAATATATAGGTATAGGATTGCCAACTGATCCATCCACAAAATCAGGACATAAAAAATGCAAAAAAAATTATAGCTCTAAAAATGTATATTTGAATTTGAAGGCTCAAAATGGAAGTTTTCGGGCGTGGCACCGTAAAAATTCTTTGCCTCCGGCGGTGACTGCGGCAGGCCACCTTTCCCTTCAAAAGCCCCCCATTTCTCACAGCCACCGGCCGCCACTGGTTGCAGGATTATCCTTCAATTTTGGGGCACCATGTATATTCCAATATATTTAGATGCAAGAATTTAATAGATCTGATCAACTTTAAATTTTAGTTATTTTCAGGTTTGAAAATCCTGCCTATAGACTTTGATTCTTTCTAAGAAATTTAAAGTTGTGGTTATTTTCTTCTCGCGAGTTTAATTTAACGTATGAACCTCCTTCTTATGCGTCGATTAATCAATTCGATCTTGCTTCTGACACATCGTTCGAAAGTTCCACAACGCGATACTGACAACCATCGTCGCAACTCTTCATCACATTCTAACAAAAAGCCTTTTCCTGGCTTATACATAGCCAAGCATACATTTATAGTATTAAGAGAGCCTCGGAGTGGTTCGAAACGATCCAAAGGGTCACTCGACACAAAATCGCACTATCCTTGATTAGACGCTGCTTGTGACGTATAACCAGGTCGGTCTGGGGTGTTTGCTCATTTCTATGTGCATTTTGATAGCTTATAGATCTAGACTTTACGGTGGATTACCGGGGTTAAGATGAAAATTGCAGACTACGCTTAAGGTAATCACAAAACCCAAATTGACGGTTAACAAGAAGGGAGGAGGTGACAGTAGTTATTCTTAGGAACCAGTATACTGATAACCACAAAATTTTGAACGGCGACTGTGTTGTTGCCATATTTACATTTTTTTCAGAAACAACTTTACGCTTAATATCACCTTCAACTAGCCGTACGCTATCTACATACGAAGTTACAGGGAGTGCCAGTAACTGGGGGGGCCTGGCCTCCTGAGAAAGTGGAATCCCACAATTTGCATTCATGGCATACTTTTGGAGATTTTTGAGATTTAGCCACTCTGAAAAAATTTTGCTCCTAGAACATTTTTGGCAGGATGATGATACATACGCCCTCCCCCTGAGAAAAATTCTTACGGGCGCCCATGAGCTTAGAATTAGTCCAATATCTCAGAAAGTGCCGTATCGATATCCAAATTTGAACCAGGGATATCAATGACCATTCCCTATTAGGTATTTTTCTGAAAATCACAACATTCGTTTGAATATAAGGGCAATGATAGATCTTTTATTAGCGTATATTAGTCATCTAATACCTTTTAATATGAGATTTAAGTGACATGATATTATGTTTATAAAGATACGACGACATAGTTGGACGTCGCGTTGTTTCTGAATAGATTTCTGAATAAATGAAAAATCTTACGATGTAATGTAATTACAACTGTTTGATGGGAGATGACTGATTGCCTTTCTTTAAAAAATTAGGTAGCTGTCAATCAAGTAATTTTCAAAATATTTCCAAAAGACTTGGTTATGTTGTTATTTCTTCTTAGATGGAGTTCTGCTATTTGAAAGTTATACCAATGGATGCTAGCGTGTTAATATCCAGTAATAACGAAGATACAACTGCATTTAAACTTAGAAAAGTAGTATTATTTCTGAATAAATTATGGATGTGGGAACAGCGCACGTACCACGTTATAGCCTGGATGACTGTTTTCATTCCCCTGTTCAAACTTCGGTCAATACAGGAGCAGTATTTCCTTAGACATTGGACCATCCCTAGATTTTATAGCTTTCCTGCGCGAATATGCCCTTGTTCAAAATTTGGTAGGTCTAACAATTCCTAGGGTATTTGACTGTTTCTGGACTTTTGAAGAACCCATGCTTTTCTTTGTGTAAGTGCACTTCCACATATTGCGATCTAGCATCGTAATCCTTGAGTGCGGTGAGTTTGAGTGACGTCACAATAATGTCTTCTCGCTTAGATCCACTAGATCACATACAAACTTGAACATTCAGACATTCAGATAATGAGGCAATCACGCCTAGACGTTTAGCAATGTGCTACTGATACTGACGGTTCCTACGCCACTGGCGTCGAAGTATTGTGATAGTAAAAGATTTCAAGAACGACATATAATGTTTTTTGAATGTTACATGACATGTACATCACGAAAAACCTTCCGTCCGCTACTTGCAAAGTACTGGTCGGATTTTGATGAATTTTTCATGCTATGTTACTATTGTGCCAAGGATACGAAATAGCTTTATAGATTTGGAAATCTATCCAGTGGTGGCTGAGCTAGAAGCAAAAAGGTAAAAAGACAGAAATCTCTCAAACTTTGTTTTTTGATGCTTTAGAGGATCCTGACCATTTTTGAAAAAATGCTCGGAGTAAAAAATTAGGGGGTTGTAAGTATATCTCAATTTTTTGACATTGTTATACTTATACGTCTCCAGTTACGGTAATTCGACGCAGGGTTTAAATATATCATAAACTTCCTTGTACATTTATCCGTGAAACTTGTTGGAGAAACATTTCCCATTCGCGTGAGTCGAACATACGCTTCGCGGTCCTGCCGATGCATATGTGTAGTAGCAGTCGGCCTCCGCTACTTCACTGGATGTGGACTTTCGATCGTCATCCACGCCATATGTACACATCGCTTTGATCATCTGCGCTCGCAAGAATTTTTCACAGGGAAAGGGGACGACGGGCTATCAATCGGCAAGAGATAGCTTTGTGTGAAAGTGTATCTGTCTCCAAAACTTTTAGAAGAGCGATGGGGTAGCACATTTTCTTGTATTGTATAGAAATGCATGCTAAATATTCAATTGTTTGATCAACTGAATCCATTAAATGTTTTTGTTCTCATGTTCGTAGCTAACTGTTTCTCAGAGGGGCAAACTTCTGCCAAACATAACAGCGTTGCGTAGGAAGTGCAGAGTCAATCCACTTGACGGCATTTATACGAGGTTTTCTAGAGGAATAAAACTTTAGGGTAGAACGAATCGTATAGAATTCATCGATTTCAGGCAAACAGTCATAACCTTATTAGTGACTTTTTTATTTATTTAAATGGCATCAAGTAGTTTCACTATGCACTTCCCACGCAACGCGATCAGTACATAGATGAACAGAAAAAGAGTCGGTCAAACAGGTCCATATAAGTAGGTGCTACGAGGCAGACATAAGTGTGAGTCCATAGCAGAATAGTTATCACGGTCGGCGCACGAAGCTTTGAGACAATGTACAGAGAAATCTATGATGTGTAAGGTATGTCTAATAGGTGCGTAGAATAACCAATTTTGGCAGCGTATAAATGTACCAGCATCAAAAATTGAGATAAATCCTCCACACCCCCTTACAACACTCCACCCCCAAGTTTATTTATTCCTAAAATTTATTTCAAAAATGATCAGGATCCTCTGAAACGTCAAGGGACGAAGTTTGAGCGATTATTATTTTTTTCGTTTAAACCTTTTTCTCTACCGTCACTGGGCCGATTTTCAGAAACTACAAAGCTTTTGTGTCCTTGGTATAGTAGTAGCTTTGTTGGGAAATTTCATCGAAATCCGAACGGCACTTCTCAAGTCATAGGCCTTTATAAGATTAGTGGACAGACCGACAAACAGACAGGCCGACAAACCGACAGGCCGACAAACAGACAGACCGGCGGAAATGACTGACATGGTTTTTCGTGATGTACATACAACAGTACATGTACAAATAAGGTTATACTTTAACCAACCTTATTCTGTATTCGTGCACTCGAAAAATTATCAAAAATAAAATGATATACCATACGTTATCTACCAGAATTTGTTACAGCTGTTTCTATATTTACCATATATATTGTGTAATGATTAGTGCCTCATAAATGACGCTGCCTATATGCCCGTATATGCCTATAGAGTTGGCTACAGCGCCATCTATGAGACGATGACTTTTTCAAAGTATAAATAGTAGAAAGAGAATCAGCTGTGATAAATTCTCATAGATGACGCTACGGTATCTCATTTTATCTAGGATAATTATTTGGACGCGCGAATATAGTATAAGATTGGATAGCTTCATGTATAAAACGTTAATCAATGATTGTATCTAATACTAAACTGATTCTGCTATTAAGAAATTATCGTAACTCTGCTAGCATGTTCGCATTCTTCGTAATCAGCGAGCCAAAAACCTCTTGATATAAATTTTTATATTATGTTTTGTAGAAATTTTGAAGATTGGCTGTGATTCTCAAAAACGACTCATTGTATCGAAACCAAAGGTGTAATACATGTATAAACTGTGTGGCCTTTTACTCCCACAGTAAAACATCTTAATTCGTTTTTGGTCAACTTTCTTCTAATTTTTCTTTGTAGCTAGGTATTGCGAGGTAGATGCTCTGCTTACCGCAGCATTTCCGGCGACCTATAGAGGAAGGACGCCTATTATCGAGTACCTTTTTAAAAATGTTCAGTAAAACTTTTCTATTCATTCCCAAAAGTTAATTGGTTGACATATTTATTGCTTATTGTTCCTAGTTTTGTTTTACAAGAGATAATTAAATTAAGTAAAGACTGTTGCTGTTATTCAGAAAATTCGGAAATGGTGTCATTTCCTTAAATTAAAAAAAGGTTGCCTAATATCGGGTAGTGTCGATTCCAAATATCGGGTGCCCGATATTAGGCTACAACTTCTTTAAAAAATGCAAAGTAGCAATATTAGCTATCTAAGATATTTTATTTTACAGTAAGACGCAGGAGAATACAAAAAATAAAATAACTATTTCTCAATAACCAGAGAATAAAGTTCAAAAGAAACAAGTATTTATCCATCTAAACATAATTCACAAATAAATGATTTCTCCTTGCCTATATCTGAGCAATCTTCGTGACACCAACGCAGACACTTCATGCATTGGACCCACTATTTCTGGAAATATCTTCAGAGAACCAGTTGGAACAATAAAAGCATTCCACATCGACATCATCTTGGTCCATGTCGTCGTCCGTGTCTACCAATTGAATTTCATCACTATCAGAACTGCTAGATGAGCTTATCTTCCTCTTTCTTCCTTTTTTTCCTTTTGGGATCGATTTTTTATTGTTAACTTTTTCCTTCTCGTTTTTAGTTTTGATTTATTTTGATTCAGGCTAACTTTTTTCGGTGTGATCTTTTTTCTTTTTTTCAAGCTCTCTTCTAAATCTGTCTTACAAGGCGTAGAAGTGAGGATAGCTGTTGAACCACGTTTACCTCCTTTTTTAGAAGCTTCACCCGAACAACCTCGCCTTGGAGACTGATGTTTTGTCTTTAGGCTAGGTATAGGACAAATATCTTGAGGTACAACGAGCTTAGGTGTCGAAATGGGTGGTGTAGTTTCTCTTTCTTTTCTTAAGTTTTCAGCAACAGCAGGATCCACAGCAATCTAATTTTCGTCATTATCTCCTTCGACTGATTGTCTTTCATTTGAAGAATGGATGGCAAATTCGTCATCTCGGAAAATTGTCGGTTGGAATGGAAATATTCCACATTTTCTAAAACCATTCACTGCAATTCACAACTCGCTGCTCTTAAATAGGCTCTTCCCATTAGTTCCGATATTTGATAGGAAGTTACAACTCTCCCTGGATTTGCTCTAAGCCATGTTTTAATTTCAGCAGCATAATAAGTTTTGAAAGGTGACATAAAGGAGACATCGAGTGGTTGTAACTTATTTGTAGAATGGGGACGTAGGCAGATAATATGGACGAAATTATCTCTGGCAATGTTGATAACATCAATATTCCCTGAATGAGAATAGTGTCCATCTAGTATCAAGACAACTTGTTCGGATTCGCTAGGTTTTACATGTAAAATAAAGTGCCTCAGCCAGTCTGTAAAAATGTCTTGCTGAATGCATCTCGATGGATGACATCTGGCAACCGACCCAGGGGGAGCTCCATTTAGAAGCTCAGGCTTCATATTTTTGCGGGGAAACACCAACATTGGTGGTATGTAACGACCGACAGCGTTCATACACGTTACAATAGTTACTAAAGCACCCCGTTCCGAAGCAGTTAAAGCTGCAACTTGTCTTTTTCCTTTCAAACTTATCACTTTGGCATGCTTGTCTTATACTGTCGTAATACCAGTCTCATCAACATTATAGATTGCTGCTGGATTAAAGCCAACTTTTGGCAAAACGCTACCAAGGATGTTGAAAAATGCTTGAACATTCTCTTTTGTAAAACCCTTAACACGGGCTGCAGAAATTCCCTGTGGTTTTCGGAAAGACAATTTTGGGTGTCTTGACATGAACGATTTCAACCATTTTTTTCCAGCAGCGGCACTTCGGCAAGAAAAAGGATGCTTAAGCCCATTACGTATCACCAGCTGAAAGGCTAGTCTTCTTACATCTGACGCTCGGAGACCAAAATACCTTCTTTCCATTTCGAGAGCATACTCAACTAGTGCTTCTTCAAGTTCATTTGTTAAAGTAGGTTTTCTGTCTAATTTGATAGCAAGTAATGTATCAACCGGTTTCTTACTTATTACATAATCAATCAGTGTGCTTTTGGGCACGCCAAATGCTTTAGGCGCCTTGAGAGTTCCCATTTCCTTGTTCTTAACTGCTTCTACTGCCCTCTTCATCGCTTCTGCATTCCATTGCTTTCTTTTTTTTTGGAGGCATCTGTGAATAAACAGATGCTTAATAATTATAACTTCAATATAATGAAACAATATCTACGTCACAACATCAAGTGTTCCTTATATCGGGTACCCGATATTTGGCATCTTTACATGCCCGATATTAGGAAACATAACCTCAAAATATTACGACAATGTATCTTAAAAAGCAAATCGAAAGGGACATTTTTCTAATCCTTAGTGGATGGCTGCAAGCCTACAGAAGGCATATGAACATAAAAATAAACAAAAACAGACCTACCTTTTCATGAAAACACCAATTTAGTTAACACTTTCAAAATATTCGTGGCGGATTTCACACACTTCCCGTGTTTGTGGAAAGAATGAAGGTCACAAAAACATATGAACGTTACAGGTTGCATTTAATGTGGTTCCTGTTACATGTTGGTCATTATAACAGTAGATGCTCGTCTAATAAACCGCTGCCCGATATTCGGAACCTACCCGATATTAGGCATCCTTCCTCTATTATTAGCAATACCTTCAACGGTTTACAATAACAATGTTTATACAGTGTGTTTATACCATACTACACAGGAGTACATTTCTCTCCAGGCAAATGATCATACTTTCCAAATATATCGTTATTAAGCCATTATTTGCAGGGTGTTCAAAATATTGCTTCAAGGCCAGACCGTTCCGAACAAAATGGCATGAATGGACACTAAAATGTGTGCTATGTATATATACTATGAATTTTGCTAAATTGGTTTTTTAACGTTTAAATTTCATTCAAGATAGTATCGACCTTCAGACGATTGTATTTCCGTAGCTGGAAGGGACAAATTTGCCTATTTTGGGTCACCTTAACGTTACTTTTTGAGGTAGCTACTTGCTACCCTCGTATCTCTTGCCTCATTCATCTGAAAGTCACTTAATAGAATGGCAATTTATACATTATTTATAGGACGATTTGTATGAATTTCATGAGACCTCCATTACTTGATATTATTTTCACAGGGGACTTATGAAATGAAAATAACGTCGTCAGATTATCCCCCAATTTAGGGTCTCGGCACTTACGCTTTGTGTAATGAATATATAATGTGCACGTTTATTCATACTTAGCATAAATGTGAGGGATATGTCTCTCTCTCTCTCTCTTCCTGTTGCTGTTTTTGTATATTCAAAGAGTAGTTATATACAGGTAAAGAGAAGACAACTGTCTTCTAAGAAGGTGAATAAAATTAGGCAGAGATAAGAGATGACTCCAAAAACATGGTATCTTCAAAACAGCTGATGGCGCCTAAGCGCCGTATCGTCAGTCGTTCCTACAATTGTAGGACACCTTTATGGCCTCCTTGTTTCTCATAGTATTTTCTCTCCTTCAGAAGGGCTGGGATATTTCTAGATTTCCACTGTTTTGTGTCAGTGTCCGCGCACTCCTATTGTCAGGCTACACGTATGTCTTCTTCTTGAATTGTAGGAAATTTTAGGCTGATAAGACAGATCATATGAATCAAAAGCATGAACAATTGATGCAAACATACAGGGTGCGGCAGAGTGGACGGACGTTTTTGGGATGGGTAGTACTCTCCGCCTCCGTCTACGAGAGAGGTGGGGAGGGTGCCGTTTGACTCGTGAGATCCTAGCATTATTTTACCAGTTGTCGTTATGGAGCCTTGGACGGTGGAGCACCGCGTTTTCGCCTATGATTGTTTCGTCCGAAATAATGAGTCAGTCATCGTCGTACAGCGTGAGTTTCGTCGCCACTTCAACATTCATCGGAATAGAGCTGTTCCCTCTCGAAACACCATCCCCCGTTGGGTTGAATTACTTCGGAGGCGTGGTGAACTGATCAACAGAAGACCAAGAGGAGCACCGCGAACAGTTTGAACTCCTGAAAATGTTGAACGCGTTCGACAGGTCTTTCTTCGCAGTCCGACTCGATCTGCCCGGAAACATGCTGCTGCACTTCGCCTTAGTGATCGTTCGGTAAGGCGAATTTTGCATATGGATCTCCGCTTTCACCCCTACAAATTGGTCATTGTGCAACAGTTACAGCCCGGAGATTATGCACAACGAATGAACTTCGCACGTGAGATGGAAGCACTGATCGATCAAAATGAGAACCTCATTTTGTTTATGAGTGACGAAGCCCACTTTCGCCTAAACAGCATGGTTAACCAGCAGAATTGTCGTTACTGGGCTAATGAAAATCTGCACAGCCCAAAAGTAACGGTTGGGGGCACTGTATCGCAAACTTGCATCATTGGCCCTTACTTCTTCGAAGACAGTAATGGTCGTGATGATACCGTGAACTCAGAGCGCTACGACGACATGATCACCAACTTCTTTCTCCCTGAACTACGACGGCGACGTGTTCCAATCCGACGTGTGTGGTTCCAGCAGGATGGGGCGACCGCCCACACAGCCCGAGCATCCATGGACGTTATTCGCCCTCTCTTCCCTGGTCGCCTTATTTATAGGTTTGGCGATGTTCGTTGGCCTCCTCGGTCCCCAGATTTATCCATATGCGATTTTTTCTTATGGGGACACCTCAAGGCTAGAGTCTATGCGAACTTCCAAGAACGCCTCCAGCACTGCATCAACGATTTCGGCCACCACATGCCTGATGTGATTTTCCACACTTAACTGTCTCAAATTCTATTTCCTTGTGAACCTGATTCCATCAATAAATTTGTTTTCGAGTAAAAATTACCTATTTCATGATTTTTTTTAAAACCGTCCATCCTCTCTGCCGCACCCTGTATATTTGTAACATAACCTCAAAATAAAGCGCTCACACAGAACAGCAGAAAACTACGAAAATTAAGGAGGCATAAACGCGTCCTACAATATTTTAGGAACGATTGACGATACGGCCCTAAATGCAATTGTAGGACGCATTTGTGGCCTTCTTTATTTTCATAGTATTTTCTAACCTTCAGACAGGCTGGGATATTTTTAGATTTCTACTGATCCGTCTCAGCATCAGAGCTCTCCTGTTGTGAAGCAATGTTTTCTTTTGAACTTGATGCAAATAGATATTTGTGACATAACCTCAAAATAGAACGCTGACACAGAACAGTAGAAAACTATGAAAATCAAGGAGCCCATGAAGGCATCCTACTATTGTAGGTACGACTAACGTTACGGCCCATAGAGCGGCTGTTCTCATTTAGTCGAAAATAAATGATTTGTTGCCAGATAGATAATCCTTTCTGTGCACATACATTGACCGTCACTTGTAGAGAACGCATTTTTTGCTCAAATTTATATTTTTCATTCAATAAAGCTATAAATCACACTTTTCAAGAGGGAAGTTATTCTCAAAACCAGTAAGTTATCTCATAACTATTTAACTTTTGAGGTCCTAGGCGGGATTGCACTACTCAATTTAGTAATAAAAGAAGAAATAACTATTTGACATAGTTGCGAGCTATCTGGACAGCCTAGTCTTAAGACCATATGTTCATTTGTTTTGTATGACTTTTGACGTACCCATCAAAAAACCGTGAAAAGAGCTGAACCCCTTTCTGCTCAATCTAGATGTAGCATTTTATAGGTATTTAATACGAACTTATTAAAATAGCCTCGGTAGTCAAGGACACATATAGGTCCCTGTTTACTGGCGAATCCACTGTTTAGCATCAAAATATGTAAGATGTGACTAGTTTCTATCGTATCATATCAGTACGCGTTCATGTAACGAAAAATGTATGTTCAGCTTCAATACTATAATGCAGAAGACCCTCAAGTCAATGGTTCTGGGTAGAAGAATTTCAATTTTACGGATGTTCCTTCAGGGGTACCACAAGATTTAGTTTTAGGCTCCGTATTGTTCTTAATATATACATTTGATGTGGTCGTCAGAAGTAAAACCACGAGTCCAACTCGTTATGCCGATGATACTCAACTATTGTTAAGCTTTCCCCCTGATGATTTTAAAATGACTGCCACTAAAATTAGTATTGATCCTGGAAGTATTAATAACTATTCAGCTATTAATAACATAAAACACAATCCTCAAAAGTGTTGTACTTCTTTGCGAGAACACCTGACGGCAAGCCTGGACCTCAAAATATGGAGCACAGATTCAACATTTAATGATGTATGCCGAAATTTGAGTCTACACATAGACGTTGACCTACGTTTTCGCACGCATGTTGTCAGCGTCATCAAAAGGCTACAACAAACATTTCTTCAGTTTTAAAACAAATAGGCGATTATGTGCCGTTTCAGCGCTTTTACCCATATAACGCTGCTATATATTATAAGGCATTAGACATCAATATTGGGAATACAGCGAAACATGATAAACTTACGTAACTATTAAAACAATATATCTTCAACACAGACATCTTAGTAAAACTTAATCTTTGGTGAATATACTTTATGTATACAGTAACTCTTAAATTTTAGAAGCATCACATATACAGTAACATACATTTTTGTAGTTTATAGTATACGTATATATTCCAAAATATTAGTTGAGTAGATTGGCCAACAGCTAGACTCCACCATTTGCATCATACTTTTTTAAAGTTATGTTGTTATGTTAATGATGCAATAAAGACAGATTATTGTAAATAAGATGTATATTTTAGTGAAGATGTCGTATTTTCTCCTGATTCCAAATATATTTATACGGTTTATCATTAAAGAAAAGTCTTAGATGTTATTTGTCGTCTAATCATAAGTATCTCTTATCACCGGATTGCAGGTATGGCTTGATGCAACCTAGCGTGAACTCGGTAAACATGACCAAAAAGCACACAAAAGTTTTTGACTGAAATAGTGAAAACAAGTATGGTATACCATATGCATATGTATTTGAAATCAGAAAATGCGTCGCTATCTTTTCCAATATATATACATTGTGTTCCATTAAAAAAATACTTTATTTGGTAGCACTTTTCTGTGCATAAAAAAGACATTGTGAAAGAAGGTGACAACAATCATACAAAATAGTTCGAAGACGGGAATAATTTATTTCCGGACTCCCCAAGTCTAAGTAAATCCAGATTTCAAATACACAGAATAATTTAAATCATTGCCATCTAACAGAAATCAATGAGGTACTCTTGCTCATTTTATTGGAAAGTGGAGAAATCATATTGATCAAAGTGAAGAAAACATTCTTCATCCCTCAAATTAATGATCTATCATCTCGCTTTCGAGAATAGTGCGATTAGAATTCTTTTCATCTTAGAATCCTATATGAGCCCCTTCCCACTTCAGTTGGCCCAACTATTGAAATCTTAGTTTTTTTCTTATCAAACACAAATAATAAAAATGTAGCTGGGTGTTATAGGTTTAAAATATTAACAATGAATATTTTGATAATATATAGTAGAAAACACCGACTTTATCACTCCCTAATCAAATTTGCAGCATAAAAATAACACATGTTGCAATTACAGCATATTCATTTCAATGCAAAATAAGTCTATAACGCATAGATGGCTGTGAAAAATAAAAGCCATGACAATTGTTTTTATTAATCACAGCTGTCAGAATAAGTTTAAAATAGTTTTGGGTACTTAAGTTTTTCAAAATGGGTAGAGGAAAGGTTATTAGTGAGAAAATTCGGTTACTGATAATTAAATTTTTTAATTCTGGGAAATCAAACTCAGAAATTGCAACTTTGTTAGACTTCTCGCGTTACAGTGTGAGAAATATTGTTAGTATAACGTAACTGGTTCAGTTAATATTAACCCACGATATGTGAAAAAAAGTAATATCACAAATGCCGACCGAAGAGCATTAAGAAGAATAATCGTGAAAAACAGGCGTGCCAATTATTTACAACTAAGTGCTCTGTAGAGTGACGCTGTTGGAAGGAGAATTTCGAGGTCCACAACTCATAGAGAGGCCCACAAACTGGGATTTAGCACTTGCAAGGTAATTTTTCTTATAAAAAAAGTGAAGTAAAAACCCTAAAGTTGCACAACTTGTTTATAGGCCAAAGAAAAGCCACTATTAACTCCACTGCAAAAAAAATCGCCTTAGATGGGCTAAAGAACATAGACAATGGACACCTCAACAATGGTGTGATGAGGCCCGATTCGAAGTTTGTGTTGGTGACAGTCGCAGTAGAGTTATTCCCAAAAAAAATGAAGCATTCCATGTTGACTGTCTGAAGAGAAAAGTGAAATTTCCAGCATCCATTATGGTCTGGGGCAGTATGTCATCAAAAGGAGTAGGAAAACTTCATTTTATTGATGGAAATGTGGATACAAACAAATATTTGGCAATTTTAGAGGAATCGCTTTTACCAGTAATGGAAGAATGTTTGACATGCGGCCAAGAGTTTGTGTTTCAGCAAGATGGTGCAGCGTGCCAAACCTCAAAAAAGGCTATAAAATGGATGGAAGAAAAAATGTACCACTTTTGAAATGGGTTTCTAGCAGTCCATATCTGTCACCTATTGAAACTTTGTGGCACGAGATGAAAAAGGTTCTACGACAACATCCTGCTCGTACAATCACCGAACTGAGACAAAAGCTTCAAGAAATATGGGATTGTTTTACACCAAATTTTTGTCAAAACTTGGTTAACACTATGCCCCAAAGAATTTCAGCCGTAATAAAAAATAAAGGTGATGTTACCCAATGGTAATCTTTCAATTGTTGCTTTGTTAACTTCGCGCATTTATCACACATTGTTTATTTGTTCAGATGTTCTATTAGTTATATGTCTAAGTGATTTCAAATATGTATTTTTACGACTAGAGTGTATATAAAATGTTTTTGAGAAAATAAATTATTTAGAAGTAAATAGTTTCGTCATGTTTAGTTTATAAAGGCCTATATTTTGGTACAAATCTTGAAGTGGGCCAACTGAAGTGGGAAGGGGCTCGTAGTAACCAGTATCATGAATCAAACGCCACAATGTGCGATGAGAAAGTGTGCTCCTCCATTATATCCCCATTAGCTACAGTTCAAAATACGGTGAATGGGTCATCCTTTTGCCAAAGCACGTGAACAATCGTCAATAACGGACGTCACATTCACCACATTTGTAACTATTTTTTATTAAGTAACTATCATTTTGGCCATCCTCGGTACTGTTAAAAATCAGGATCAGACCGAAGATCAGTTTTTTCGACGGAGCTGAAGCCGATGTTCGGTCTTTAACACAAATTTTAGCCAAAGCCAAAGGTTAAGTTAGTTGATAATGATCGCATGCGTGTCCGTTTCGCATAAATAGAAATGTCTGTTCTAATAATGTAATGTTGAATCGAAACTTGTTAAAAGAAGATAAAATCCTGATATAATTTGATGGCTATGGATAGTAAAATCTGATTTGGCTGGGTTACATTCAGATTAAAATATTATAAAAGGTCTTTCAACCTTTCCTAAACTCGGTGACTATACAGGGTGACTTTGAAGTTGAGTCATTAATTTTCAGATAATGATTGTAGAACGAAGATAAACCAAAATATGTGTGTAAAAATAAAAAAAAAATGTTACCTTGTTTTATAAAGTATCCTCCCGACAAGTATTTCAGTGTGGAACTGTATTTGATCGTGCGGTCTTGGAACACCGGCATGCCCTCCCCTATGAGGTCTTAAGTCACCTGATTCACGAGCCCTTTGTACTACATTAACAAAGGCACGAGGGGTTGGTTGCACTCGATTGGGAAACCGATTCGCACAAATTTGTGATGCCGCGGCAGCATTTTGTAAAGACCCCTCCCCGTAAATAAGAATCATGTCCACAAGTTCATCATTTTCGTAAGCATGTGCCATTTTTGATTTCGTTTGAGCCACGCAACAGACACCACTATTCACTTACGCGTTACCGACTGACACTGACTGTATACAACGGAATAAATAATTGTAAAAACATCGTTCCAAATTCTTTCGCTTTTTTGTTTCCGATGCGATGAACCGATAAGGCGGATTATATCCGTTGTTGCCAAACACGAGCACATAATATTATTATTGAGACAGGGCGGTACTTCAAACTTCCAAAGGGCTATAACTTTGTTACTTTAATTTTACCAGAAAAATGGTAAAGGAAAAAAACGTTTCTTTTGATCAGATCTATTCACTGTTAAAATAAATGACTCAACTTCGAAGTCACCCTGTATATATGACCATGTGCGTATTTTCAGTTTACGGGATTTCCGCAAAATTTTTAATGAGCACTGATTTTTTTAAATTTTTGGCCCTTTTAACCGAAGACCGAATAAGTGGCTAAAGGTATATTTTTGGCCGAATATGCTCGAAGCGAAACTGAAAAGCTTCGGTGCGACTCTCTTTAAAATAATGTGGGTGGGTAGCTGTAGTCAGACGTCTGGTCCCCCGTTGTACCCTTTTCCTCATATCCAGTGATCATTATCGCTGTAATGTAAAAATCCACTACGTCAGCCCCAACCCTTTTATAGTTTCTCGTTTTTACAACTGGCCATAGCCTATGTACGCTATTTGACAGAAATAAGTATAACTTACCTTTTCATACTAACGTGCATCTTTCCACTTTAAGTTATCAATACTTCCCATCTGTTGCTTACCCAAAAAGGCACTAACACACTGGCTACCTAGACTGTAGCAAGAAAGGCTACTGAATCAATGCCACTTGAGACTTAGGATACTCACTTAACAACTATCGTGACATATCGACTCCCAGGCTTTCTGTAACAAGCCGAATCCCGAAGACAATTTCTTCACACACGATGTTTTCCAAGTTATAAATCAAAATCCATCTGTGATCCATATTGTTTCGCGATAAGCACTTTTATTTTATGGCCTTGGAATAACCCTCGTCTATTCGAGAAACACGATATTTATTATTTGATAGCTCTAGAATGCAAGATTTATGCGAATGAAGATGGTCCGAGACATAGTATGAAGTTTAGGTGATAAATACAGCGTGTAAACGTTATGGTAGCCATTATTGAAATGGGTAATAGGAGGGTCAAAACAAGTCAAAAAGTTCATATGACCCATGGTCCAAATGTCAATAGATTTTTGTCTAAATGGCTGTATAGTTTACACACATATAGTTATGCACAGTAAAGAGATATACTCGTACATGCTATATGAATAAAATCCGACGATTGCGAGCAAATCTTGAATTGGACGGCTTTTTGCAGAAAGGAACCAACCTAGAAAAACAATTATTGAGCAATTAGGCTTTAAAGTTTTGACAATGATGACACATTCATTTCAGACCAAACACGATTTTAATGGATCTTTTTTACAGTAAATGGTATTGCTCGTAATAATTTATTTTCCTAAAATTTAGATTTTTCATATTTAGTGGGTTGGTTCCTTTCTGCAAAAAGTCATCCAATTGTTCTCTGTCAGTGTGTCTACTAGACCAACTCTTCGATTCCAGGTACTTTACTTGCCTATATTTGAGTTAATAATGTGGCCGTGTCTCGAGAGTGAAATTGGCGACTTGATTCACAATTTACCCTTAATCAGCTCAAGTATTTTGGAGTTTCAGATATTTTGTATATGCATACGAGGGTCACGCTGCAGATTTTGAGATGCGCATTAACTATACTGTTAAGCCCGACAACAGTGCACTATTAGAAAGAGCAGTCATGTATTAGTAAGTCGCCGCATTCAGTTCATTTGCCAGCGTCTTAGAGTGCACGTGGTTTAATCCACAGTTGATGAAGTAAGCTAGGAAATCTCCTGAGGATCGCTGGTGCCGGAAACCATACCGCCTATCGGTAATCAAGACGTGACGTTCGAGGTACTCCCGAATTATGCACCTCTCCATCTCCTTGCTTATAACAGGAGGCAAAGCTATAGGCGTGCAGTTTAAGCGGTCGGTCTTAGATCCTTTCTTGAGATGGGTTGGACATGTGCAAATTTCCAGTTTTCTGGAAAAGTATCAGAGCCGTAAGATATCTGGAAGAGACGCGAAAGAACTGAAGCAAGCTCCGCTTCACATCTCTTCAATACAATGGCAGGAATCAAGTCCTGGCGAGAAACTTGTTGTTGCCGAGAGACAAGAGCACCCATCTGATGGTCTTGTGCTTGAATGTTACTTCCCGCATAGAGTTGGGACCCTTTGAATCGACGGCACTCGGGGGTTTGGAAGAGTTAGCAGCAATGATTTGGCAAGCACTTCCGCCTTAGCCTTTGAATCAGTTATAATTGTTGTTCCTTCCTGGCACTTATTTTGTAGAAAGCTACTCAGCGAGAAGTTTTTTCAATCTGCTCGAGTGGCATCCAGAAAGACCAACCACCGTTCGCAGTGCCATAACCATATGTCTAATTCTTACATCGGGCTGGTCTTTTGCATTGCGGACCGCTTCATTATATTTGTTTCTTCACTCCTTTAGTATTAACAATAAACATTGGGAGTTTTCAAAACGTCACCTCCCTTTTACATTACAGATCAATTTGAAAGCCACAGCTCGCGTAGCACAACAGTTTTCTATAGAACTCAGGAGCTTGAAGTGATATGGTGTATTCTACCAATTTCCATAGCCTTAAAATGTCTCCTTTCCGTCGGTACATCTCATTATTAGAGATAAGCCAGCTTATTTCCAGTCTATCCAGTTGATCTTGGGCTCCTGTAGAAATTATTTTTCACGGTGTTCCTGTGAAAGTGTGCCTACTCCAAAAACTTTTTGAAGAGCGGGAGGTAGCAAATTTTCTCTGGAGGCAAATCCTTAAAGTCCCCAGGATTGTAAACACAATAATGCTAAATATGCACATTTTATGGTCCAACCAGATTCTCAGGGGAGGCACAGTCCCCCTAGCACTCTCCCCCGCCCCCTCCGCGCGCTCATGCGATTGATGGTTACAACACGCGTACTGAAGTGACTCGACCGTAGCAAAACCTCTAGGTGTTTTTGATGAAAAATGATTGAACATTATTCGAGGAATACTGTCCAATAAACATAAAATTGACATTTGTGGAACGAGTTCACTGAAGCGAACCAGCAGCAGCACTTCAACTCGGATCAAGGCAACAAACCGAAGCAGAGATGCTCTTCTGTTCCTGACAACGATGATTCGATAATTGAAGGGTGCACGGGAAATTATCGAGGGCAAATTAGGTTGAACGCTACCGAGGGTGGTTGAGATAACAGATAATTTTATTAAGGAGACGTCATGCTGTTTTTTCCATTGTGTCAAATATACTGTCGACTGCGACCTTTGTGACACGTTCATATTGATTGAAAGGTCTTGAAGCTGCTAAAGTCATTAGTATAGGTGATAGTGCAAAGTTAGAAAAAACTGTAACTACTGTGGTCCACTATATGATATCTCAATGCTATCTACATCAGCCTTTCTTTAATTTTTTCAACCACGAACCAATAAGAAAACAAGCACAATTTTCGAGGTCCCCCTGAATGAATCAAATGGCGACAAGTAGGTTGACTATGCACTTTTCACGCAACGCTGTCATCAGTTCATAAAGGAATATGTTCGGAAAAAAGTTGTACCATCTGAGAAATTTGTTAGAACATGTGAAACAGAAATTAAGCGGATCAAGTAAGTCAAGTAGCTCCTAGACAGCTATTCCCTGTCCTACCGATAGTACCACCCAACGGCGCCCCTCCCCCTCACCTCGTCAGGGTCGGCAGCGTGGCAGTGACGGAACAACACTGATGGGGGGAGACTATGACGCCTGTCAATCCAGAGTGGCGCGCGTTTCGAAGATATTTCACCTTCATTCTAAATTTTAAGGGCAAATCAATGT